GCCCTGTCAACAGTATGCGTTAAAATCAGAGGTTTTAGTTATCAGGAGGAGTTGGCTACCTTATCAGGAGGAGTTGGCTACCTCCAGGTACCCCTGCATGTAATTTATCAACTTCATTAATATGCTCACACTTGGAGACTCGGATACATAGAGTTAGGACCACACTTTGCAGAGGTGCCTTGGCGCGGCAGTGTGGCTTCTACATATTTTTGGCCAAAAGTTTGTGCAACTAAAACCTCTGATTTTAACGCATACTGTTGACCGGGCTACTTGTTTGGTTGCAGGCTGGCTGGCAGGCTGAGGCTGGGGAATTTTTGTGTTTTGTTCTGATGTGAAATGGGCGCTCCTTTTGGTAAGGGGGACTTTAAATGTAAAGGGGCACCCTGAGATGTGCCTACTTTTAAAGGGTCCTGTGACAAAAACAAATGGTTGGGAAACACTGCTCTAGTCAATCCTAACAAAAACTGATCTCTCAAGGTTGTTAATAAAGTTTCTCTCCGAAAAAAAAAAAACTCGTGTCGTCTCTCAGTGTTTGCACTCCACCCTTTTCACATGACCTCTGACCCCAGTGTTTGAGCGTTCCATACGACTTCCCGTTCCAAACCACGTGTGCTGGCTGTGTGCTCTCTGGCAGCTTGTCCAGGCGGAGGTTCAGTTGAGGGCGGCATGGCGAGTCAGGGGCACTGCCTGCGCTTCGAGGGCTGCAATTTCCTCAGGCAGCGACTTGTACTCTCCACCCTGAGCGGGAGGCCGGTGAAGATCCAGGGAATTCGGCTGAAGGATGAGAGCCCCGGGATCAGGGGTAAGGTGGACGATTACCGAGCAGTGCCGTGCTGGCTGCCAGACGGCAGAATAAGACAAGGAAATCATTGTGCTGACATGCGTGTTTATTTCATCTGCGTTGCAAAATGTCCGGTGTGTTCCAATCGGTTCTCTCCTTCTTGGGCTGTCGCACTTTAAAATCATAGACATGACGAAGTGTGAATATATCTGTTGTGTGGCTGTCATTACAAGCTATGCTTTGTCAAGGTGCTGCGTTTATAGCAGTAATCAGCTGGACTGCTACATACACACACACACATGAAATACATATGTGGACAGCTGTTTATCTCTCTGCCAGAGGATTTGTGGTTCTGTCCATCCAGTCCTGAGATTCGCACAGCCAGGTAACATTTACAGTCCAAGTGTATCAGAGCCCAGGAAGGAAAATGTAAATATATTGCAGCTTAATCTTTAAATGTGATGGCAGCATTTGTTTTCATGTTTAGCCTTTTTCACCTGGTGATCCAGCCAGTAACTGTGTGTCAGCCTGCAATAATCGCCTGATCTGACACTGATATATCTTTAGGTGCTGGAAGCCTATGGGCTTGTGTTCCATCAATTTGTCACATTTCTAAGAACCATCAGAATTAATTGACAGGTGCTTCAAGTGTTTTGCATCCCCATAGACTTGTATGGGAATGTGAATTGTGTGTGTTTCCTCCCACATTCCAAAGACATGCTGGTAGGTTAATTGGCTCCTCTCTAAGTTGGCCCTTTATGTATGAGAGGTAGGGACCTTAGATTGTAAGCTTCTTGAGGGTAGGGACTGATGTGAATGTGCAACTATGTAAAGTGATGCGTAAATTGTCAGCGTTATATAAATACCTTTTTATAAGTAAATTGACAGTTTTAGGCCTGACAAATTCTGCTGCAGGAGGTGCGTTGCAGTGCCATTAATTTCAATGGCACCCCAAACGCACTTTCCAGCCACAGTGTCATCGCCTGCACTGGAACACACGGTACCGCAATGCTGAGCATTCCAGTGCAAATTAATTGTATAACACTTTTTTTTTGTTTTTTAGCAGATTGAAATGCCTTTTAGTGGTATTTATTAACCAATGGGACTTTTTTTTTTTTTTTTTTACTATATAAAAATCTTACTTTGTGATAAAACATATCAAATTCAGGGAAGCCCCCGAATGACCCCTATGCCGGTATTGAGACTTTTTCAATAATACATCTAGATCAAATAGACATTGCCCAGCAAAGTATTTCTTGGCATTTTTACAGTTGGCCCCTACTCTCTCAGCTCCGCTTCTCTGAACTTCCTCTCCAGGACAAGAGCATCTGTCCATCAACTAGCTTGGAGGAGCTTACAGAAAGAGTGGCTTACCTTGCTGTTCCTGTGTGTTTGTGGAGACGCACAGCTTATTGGCGCAGACAAGGGTGGCTCTATACGACCCTGCAAGGGAAAGGAGTCACCATAAAACAGGGTACCAGCTGATTCTGCCGGAAACAAACACTTTCTCAAGAAGCAGCATCCATTGTAAGTTATAAAATCGGCATTTGGAATAGCTTAAAAACTTTTAGACTTTAATATCAGTTTAAATTTACGGGTAAGTCTTTATTTTTGCAAAAATAAAATCCCCCCACCCCTTTGCAGTGCCACGTTGCTGTTTTCTGCACAACTAAGGGAGTTGGGGTGGATTAAGGGACCTATCCCCCAGTGCACAGGAAAGCTCTCCTAAATCATAACTGCAGTTCATTGTAAGATAAGACAGAGCAGAATATTTCCCTTTTGCTTGTACAGTCTTCAAGTGCCCATTTGGACATGTCAAATTGTGTGTACCACTGTGTGGTAACATACTAATAATGGAAGACATCGCAAAGGGAAATCTTTTCTATTGGGCTGCAGTAACCTGAATAGATATGAAAGACGATTCATGAAATTCCTTCGTGTTGCGCAATTGCAACAACAAATGTCTGCAACAGGCATGTACCTGTCAGAAACAGGTACATGACTATTGTATAGAGGTATGGTGGGGGCGGCATTGAGGCTGGAGCCCACATTCAGCTGCACAGCATGCCCAGTTGGGATGCTGTCGGCTACACAGCATCAGTAGTTGCTAGCAACCAGTGACTCATCATCCCGGCCCCATTGTTGATTCCCCGGCGGACAGCTGAATGTAAACATAGGGGCAGGGATTGTTCTGACATCATTGACCAAATCTAGGCATTGCCAAATTTGGTTAATGACATCAGACATCAGCTGAATGATGGAGGAATAAGTTATTGGTTGCTAGGACGCCAGTGGCAATCAACATGTGATATTGCCTTCCCAGCAGATTTACAGAAGACTGATTTAACCCTTTTTTTTTTTTTTTTTTAGATTTTAAAGCAAGCTTTATTAGATTATTGGACAAAATAACCAATGGCACACGCATAGAGATCAATGAAACTGGTAAGTGTCATTTTTAACTATTTGGGTAATTTTTAACTATTTGGGTATTCAGTGTATGTCATTTTATTTCTGAGGCCAGTTTTTATTCCAGAGGCTGTTCCCACCCAAATTTGTCCTTCCAAATGTCTTATGCAGTGGCTGGTAACCACACCCAGAATTCCTATTTCTTGGTGCTTGTTATATTGAGCCAGTGGAAGACCTAACTTTCCCTGTACAGATCTGGCCTGAAGTCTGTTTTCTGATTGGTTTCTGTTTCCATGTGATAGGTGCACTCTGTAATGACATAAAATGACAGAGATTAAATACATATGCAGATTTGTGATAGTTGCCCAACTACAGACACATTTTTTTTTTTCTTTTGTTTTCAAATTGAGTAGGGAAGGGTTAGAACCCCTGTCAGGTTGATGTCAATATTGGGGACATTTCTAGGGCTGCAACAACTAGGGCTGCAACAACTAATCGATTATGAGAATAGTTGGCAGCTGTTCTCATTATCGATAGGGAGGGAGGTTATTTTTTTAATGCAGCAAATCGATGTATCGAAAAGAGTATTTGGGCAACTAATGGATTATGAAAATAATCGTCAATTGCAGCCCTAGAAATTGCCCTTCACTTCCTCTCCCAGTGAAACAAAAGCAAAATCTCCAATGGAGACACAGCAGCAAAATCTTTTGTAGTACAGTGGAAGAGCTTATTGCAGTCTGCGCCTCCCTCTGCTAGTGACCTAGCGCCATTTCTCTAATTTCTTGTACTGATATCACAGGGGTGTCTCTAAGATGCATGCTGGAGGGAAGTCTCCCCAATGGAGTTGGACCGCATTATAAATTTGACAGGGGTTCTATATGCAAAATAAAAAAGTTCTGACTGGAACTTAAACTAAAAATAATCAACAGCCACACCTGGAATGTTGTACATAACTGCCAGCAAATGTGCCTTGGATGACCCAAAGGCTTAATTTCATGTGGGCCAGTCACTGCAGCTTCTCTCCTTTGCATCAAATCACCAGTAAACTACCTACTTAATGCATTCAGGTAAGCTTGGCAAGCGCTGCTTTGTATGGGCATTTCTCAAGCACACTGCTGCCATGCTAAATCTTAGAGTGGAAGATAAGGGGTGTGATTTGCTGTTCTGTCACTGTCCTGGGTGCAAAACACTCCCCCAGATTAACCCACATAATGGCTTCCTCCTGGTGGCTGCTAGGAATTGTAGTTTGCAGGTGCCCAATTGCAGGATGAAACACGTGGCAGCCTGCACGATCCTTCTCCAGGGTGGTAATTTTTAAAGAAGATTCCAAAAAATCTTGCGTTGCTTGGAGTTCAGCTTTAACTTATTTTTCAGGGTTTTTAATATTAAACATACAAAGTAACATGTAGCTATGTAGACCAGTGTTGACTCTGAAAATCATGTGGCATTTGATTAAGCTGCTAGACTTGTACACCGGCCTGTGCGGCTTTTATCTTACTAACATGCTACACACCCGCCGAACATCGTACGATGCTCGGCGGGTTTCAAACATGTTCGTAAGTTAAGCCGTGCGACCTTACAGTAGTAGAGGTTGCACGGCTTCTACACACCTTCCGATAATCGTACGATTAATCGTACGTGGGATTTTCCATGATTATCGTAAGGTGTGTGGTCACCCTAATTCAAAGCCCATTTATTTGAGATGCTTCCAGTAAGTAAATATTAAAATATACTCTTTCCTTGTAAAGTTGGGTTATATGCTTATATCACTCCTGTCATAAATGTTAAAATACAAATGCACCCTTTGCTGGATAATCTTAAACTGGCCATACATTGGCTTATTTTTTAATTTAAAATGGGGTGCACAAAGTGAAATAGATTCCTCTATCAACACTGATCTAAGTGGATGGACGACTCTCCTGCTGTTACTGTATTCTGACTGTGGCAGGTATGTTGCTATCGGAATGCCTAATCAGTGATGAAAGCCAATTGGCTGATGTCACTGTTCATCTGACCGGCTCCTTTTGATTTTCTGATTGATGCCAAGCGGAAAGACTGCCATCAGGGCCACCCACTGAACGAATCTGCAAATATGGACATATTTCATCTATAGAGTTTAATAGATAGGAGCACTGAAGGGAACCTAGGACTGGTGGGTATTCAAGTTTCAATTTGTATGACGGGTATTCCATAAAAAGCCCTTTTTAAAAAAGGCATTGACATTTTTAAAATATCTCTAGTGATTAACCTGTTTTGGCAGCTCTAGGGAACAAAGTACAATCACGCAGCATCATGTTTTTTTTGTGGACTATTAAAAACACAAAACATGTTTATCTGGCTAATTGTGCAAGAGAGCAGTTCATGGGATGGATTACATTTATATCATATGTTTTGGTTAAAAGGACAATAGATGCAGTGAATGCCATACCTGCAAACATGCAGCACAGGTTTGGTCTTTGTAGCTTTCAACAAAATATTTTTGTTCTTGCTTTAAAATTATGTATTTAAAAAAAAAATTGTGTGTGTACACCCTGCAATTTTGTAATGTTTCTCATTTTCACACTTAAATGTTAGTCTTCCGACAAGTTCCTACAGGACTAAAAATGTTGTGTTGTGAAATATTGCACAATCCTGCTTTTGCTTTGTCAGATATCTATCCATATAAAGAAAAACCTTTGAAATACCCTGGATCAGAAATAAAGCTTGATAGAGTGCTTAGTTCAGTGGTATATGGCAAAATCTAGATTCTCTGTTCCCTTTTGGCTTTGAGCCTGTTTACTCAAACTGACAGGAAAAGCCTTTTTAATACCAGTTTCTTGAATTAACGAATTGCTCATCTAAGGTTGTGTTTTTTTTTTGGTTTTTTTTAACACGTGAACATTTAGTAATATAGAAGCATTATCCTGCATGGCTTTTTACTGTTTAACCAACACTGCTTAAATTATAATTTTTTTTTTTTTGTGCACTTGACATTTCTGTTGTGACAAAAAAGGCAGATATAAAAGGCACACATTAATGCAGCTCTGCAATAATTAATTCATCAAATATATTTTTAAGTGCTAGCAGTGCAAGTTCCTGAATTTGACTTATCAGCCTCTTGCAGTCCCTGTACAGCAGGGCAGGAGAGTGAGAGGAAGAAGCAGTACAATGAACCAATCAGTTCATGCGCTGGCAAGAAGCATACTGGTGGCAATGGCAGTGACATTGAGATGAGCTTTTTAGTAATGGGCTGGGACGGGTCCAGCTTGATCTGGTTTCTGAGACATTGGGCTTAATGATGCTGGCCATGAGATTAAGGACATCTAGTGGCACAAAAAAAGTACTAATGGGGGAAATTACTGGGATGAAGGTGGATATTGCAGCAAAAGCTGCTTTTGTTTTTTTATCTTTTAATGTGCCATTAATTTTTACCTTGTTTTTGGCAGGAGTTCTCAATGGGTATTCAGTGGACAGGTGACATGCTGTAGTGGCCTGCTATATCATTGTTTAAATGCTGGCAAGTTGAATCACCTTCTGACTTCACTGAAGGATTCCACTGGTGAGATCCGTACCAGAAATTCCAATTTCTCCCTGAATGCCACAGACATTATAAAGATAAACGGGTTAGAGTAAACCCCCCCACCCTTTTGGTATGCCTTTGTTGGAAAATGCAGAGACACATTTTGCTGCATGGGATTCTCATTATTGGAGTTCTGTAGAATAGGAAACTTGCAAGTAAGTTAGTTTAGTTGCACCCATCCAAAAATTAAATATCCTTTTTGAGTGGAGTTGACCTTTTAGTTTTTAATTAATGGTGATATCAAAGTAGACAGATGATTCTGGCATGTTGAAGTCCATGGGTAATGGGAAAAACAGGGTCTGAGATAAACGGTGTCTCAACTTTTTCTCAAAGTCAATCATCTGCTTTTAAATTTTCATTTCATTTCAAGAGGTGTGGGGAAAAAAAAAGATAGAGGCTAATTGGTTGCTAGTTGAGAGAGAATTTCTCATACACCTTTCCTCCTTCTTTTTTTTTTTTTTTTTTTTTTTTAAACGACCTCCCCCCATATGTTAATTTAG